TTTAGATACCACTGGGTTGACACCATGAGCAGTGTCCAAGAAGCTTAGTCCAGGTAGACTTGGATCTCTCTTTGACAACTCCAACTCCATGAGAAGGTCACTTAGATCTTGCAGCTTGCAATGGTCTTTGTTTGATATTTTTGGAAAGTTTTGCAGTCTCTTGAATAGAGCACTTTCTATGGCTTCAGAGCTACCATAAGTTTGCTCAAGTCTTGCCCATGCAGCAGAAAGACCTGCCTCTGGGTGGTCAACATGTACTGTTCTCAGTCTTTTAACACGATCGGAAGATTCTGGTCCCAACCATTTTATGATCAAATCAAGTTCTTCCTTAGCAGTAAGGTTGAGATCAGCAATAGCAGCCTTGAATGTTGCTCTCCAGGCCCTGTAGCTCTCTGCACTATCGTCAAACCTTGAGAGGCTTGTGTTAATGAGCTCACGGAGCACCATATATCTGGCGAAGTCATTCAAATCTGATTTCTCACTCTTTGGTACCAAAGTAACTTGTGGAACCCCTTGGTTGTGAAAGTTCTCTGGTGATGTAGGGTGAGGTTCGCCAGGGTAGAATAATGTTGTCACGATTCGGGGAACCCAACACGCTGGCACACACACACACACACACAGAAAAGGTGCCGTACCGGACCTTAGAGTGGCCGGGCTAAGCACGCTAAGAATAATCAGGAGACAAGCCAAGTAAAGGAAGCCAGAAAACGGGAGAACGAGAAACAAGCCGAGGTCAAAGGAGTGGAGAAGACAGGATAATTGGAATAACGAGCCAAATAAACGGTAACCAGAGAACAAGACGAGAACACTACGCTACAGGTATCACAAGACCACAACAGGGCACTGAGGGACAGGAAAGGTAAGTATAAATACCCTTGGTTTAATTCTGATTGGATAACTTCCAATCAGAATTAACAATCACACGTGGGGGATATCTATACCGCCCACTGTGATTGTGGTAATGTTTCTTTAACGCCGGGTCACTCACGTGACCGCGGCGTTTACATAAGTCATGGACCTCCCAGCGTGCAGCGTTATACATGCTGCCGCTGGGGGGCGTGGAGGATGCGGGCGGCAAGCGACACAGAGGAGACGCCACTTGCCGACAGGTAAGCAGAGGGGAGACCGCCATCCGACAGATGTAGCATGAGCGTTTAACTTTGGCTTAGTCTCTAAGGCTTGTGCTGGCGGTGGCTTCAGATGCCGCTCGTCACCGAAAGTCACATTGTTGTTTGCAGGAGAAGATGTGGTTGGCTGCATAGATGTACCTGCATTGTAGACTTGAAGAGGCTCGGGCATATTGTGTTGGGAGGTCTCCGTGTTGAGAGTTAGAACAGTGTTGTTTGTAGGAAGTACAGGAGATGACTCTGTATCCTTGCAAATGTTATGCTTTAGTATATATTCACTGGTGCGTTCAACTGGATCTTCCAGTTCTGCTGGGATAAGACAGTCCAGATTAGTGCTTTGTCTCATTGCTTGTTCGAGGACTTTTAACCTTGCCAGGGAAGCTGCTTTCTCACCTTCCATTTGCAGAATCTTTATTTGTGCTTCTTCCTCTGCTTGCTTTCTGACAAAGGAGCTTTGCACCTTTTTTGCTTCAGCATCAGCGCGGGCCTCGATAAGCTTATCATTTAATATTGAATTTCTGGAGCGAGAGGATCGAGAAGAAGGTGCAGTGCGCTTGGTTGAGGTGGATCTGTGAGATCTGGTCTCCAGCAGATGCGGAGTTCTGCCTTAAGCTTAGCATTTTGCACTTCCCTTTGGGAAGATCCCTTTGTCGGTTTAGTGCATTGGTCCTGGTCAGTTCTGCTGAAGAATCCTCTATATTAGAGTCCTGCAAGAAGGCTGAGTATTTTACAGACAACCGCTTATAGCGTTCATATGCGGCACATAGGCGATTGACTGCAAAACATTACAATGTGTCTAATTTCATGCGAGTGTGTCGAGTAGGTGGTGACACATGGGATGCTGGTGTTCTTATCTTTTTTTTTTTTTTTTTTTTCAACAACTGTTCCCTGGGTAGTAGCTTCGCCCTGTTCTTACAATCAGTTGAGCTCTTCTGACCACAGGGCGTTGGTACGCATGCGCCTCCTCTTTAACCCCTTAAGGACACATGATGTGTGATGTCATGATTCCCTTTTTATTACAGAAGTTTTGGTCCTTAAGGGGGTTAAAAGGGGCAAGCGCATATCGGACGGCGTCCCTGATGCTTAATGCATCCTTTCCCGGCGTGAGAGCGGTGGTCCGACCGATCCAGATGTCAGCAGATCGGCGGACCGACAAGGTAAGTGACTGACAGCTTACACTTGTATTGTAACTTATTGTAGAAGATTACTTGAGTGAAACAAATATGTAGAATCTGAAAAGTATGTATATATGTCAATTGCCTCCTCTGACTATCTTTGTGTGTACATTCATATACATTTATTTAGTTGTATGATTTTCACTTTGATATCTTGTGTCCCCCTTATATATCACTCCTAGAGTTTCTTTTTGAAACGCCGAAGTTTGTTTTGAAACTAAAGCAAACACCAATGCTCTTTGATTAACTCACAATACCATTTTACTCTGTTTTGTAAATTAAATATGTATTGAGCTAAGATGTTAATTTTGGAAGTTTTCTAATTTTCTCCTTTTTAATTATAAATATTTAATTTACAAAACAGAGCAAAATGGTATTATGAGTTATTCAAAGAGCACTGGTGTTTGCTTTGGTTTCAAAACAAACTTCCGTGTTTCAAAAAGAGAAATCCAAACAATAGCAGGAGAAGCTTCTTCTGCCGGTTTGGATTTCTTTTTTGTGAAACACCAATGTTTGTAGCTGTTGCATCCGTATAACCCCATTGTATCAAGTTCAGGGGATTTGGTATGTAGTATACAACTAAGATTTAGTTGTGCACTAAATGCAGATTCCTGCATCTCAATGCTGATGCTGGGGTGACATTACATCCCACCTCCCGGCATCAGCACATTGTGGACAAGGCAGCTGTGTAGGCAGTGCATTCCTCGATGCCAGCTCAGCGGCATATTGGCAGGACAGGCACGTTCCACAAGGTGCTGCTGGGATACATTTATCTCCCTCTGTCCTCTCTGCTCTTTGCCTTTGCATACCCATATAGAAACTAGTTAAATATACAAACACGCACATAAACTGATGCATACATTCACTGACACACACACACTACATAGATACATACTGCTGAATACATACACACAGAGAAAACCCTCCCTAGACCCTTGCATTGAAAGCAAGCTATTTCAATCCGCGTGGTACCTGCTCTGGTTTCAGGAGTCGTGCCCAGCTGGCATGATATTTAATAGCTATATTTACCATAAATAGCCATATAGCCACAAACATAACTTTAATATGCTGTTGCCTTATGTAACCTTATAAATTAACACTGATTTTATAAAGTCATGCTTTTATAAGAAACTTCCATAAATGATTGTGTGCTCTCTGAAAGAGATTGTATAAGAGATTGTGTGCCAAAATCAAACTGCAAGCACTTTAGATCAGAAAGGGATCAAAAACAGATTTCATCATTTGTTGGATACCTGCCTCAGAAATAAATTGCAAGCTTTTTAGACTAACATTTATTTAAATCAGACTGCAAGCTTTTCAGATTACACTCCAATTCTGGTATTATAAACAGCAGCATTTTATATTTTACTGTATTAATACAACTTTCATATTCTGTTCCTGTACTCTGTGATTCTAGACTAAAAATTTTCAATACAAAAAAAAAAATACGCTGACTATCCTTATTATGGGCATCAAGTGTATAGAAAATAAGTGTACTGCATATGTTTTGGCTTTCTAAACCTAAAGACAATTCATTTCTCACATAAGATGCTTTAGCTTTTGAATGAAATTCTTTGTGTAGTGGTATTCCTTTCTGCCATGCTTGAATTGGCTTCCACTTAAGGCTTCTGTAGCAATGCCTGTTACGGCACGGGGCAGCAGTGCGTGCATGCTACCCTCTTGCGACTTGAGCTGCTGACCGGCTGTCTTGGTGTGTGCCTGTTTCCCTGCCTGATTAGTCTAACAGCAGTGCCAGGCCGATTATCACTTCAGTGTTCCTCCGCCCCCGAACGTTGAAGTCATCCCGAGTAGTGACACTAGTGCTTGCCTAGGCTTGGGCTACTGGGCAAGTAAGGCAACTGGGCAACTGCCCAGCGTGCCCATACAGTAAGATGGCCATGAACTTAATTCTAACATGTAATGTAGTTATTGTCCGTCTAGTTTAACTGCATTTCAAAAGTTTCAGTATTTAATTCTTCCCTTGTCAAGGTTATGCGTACACAATACACTTTAAGATGAATATACAAGATCTCATTTGCATGGAAATAATATTTAATTGTCTACTTTGAATTGTCTTAAACATTTACTTAAACCATGTTTTTTTGTTTTTACATTAGAAGTGATTACAGAGCGGGCCAGCCATACCTTGTCCCTGCTCATTTAGTACAGTAACTTAGTTTGTAACCATAAATAAATTTGCATTGTATAATTTTCATTATTGTCATAATGTTATCAAGTATTGTGTACCCTTTTTTCCCCCCTAATTTTATTTCTTTTTAGGTGCATATTTGAACAACATTGATAGGCCAAGCTGGTCAACTGATGCTCTATCACTGCCATCCAAACAAATATGGATGAAATTAATATTGCTAATTCAAGTGAAGGGCCAGGCCACTGGTACATTGTGAACCCCCAATTTTTATAAGACAGCTCAAATGGTGTAACATATGTGAAGGATTCTTCTTGTAGCACCATAACTACTACAGTGGCTTTATACACAGTTTAGATACCAGTTTACAAATTCCAAAAGAACCTTCTGTGTGGTACAATATTTTGAAAATAACTGATGGTTACTAGCGTTCCTGTAAAACCCCAATAACAGAGAACTAAAAATACAAAAAACACTATGCAGGTTTTCAATTAAGATTTATTTAACAATTCTATATTTTCTACATATCTCCCACTGGAAACACAGAAGTCCTCATATGCTGTTTTAATATCTTCAGTCACCCTCATCTTCTGATTCCAAAGCAGCATATTTTGAATGTCCATCCCATCATTATTAACAAGGCATGTTTCACAGTGCCCCCAGAGAAGAACAGAGCTGCAGGATATCCTCCTTTAAAAAGATCATGTGTTGGTCTGCAATATGGCATTCAGCCCATCTCCAGCCACATAAATGGAAGAGATAATTTTCCTCAGACAGTACGATGGGTAGACTCTCTGGACAGTCCTCATAGCTAGATTCATCCTGATCACCATGATCCCAGGCATTAGAGGAAGAACTGGACTGTCGGAGAAAACTGCCTGGAGGAGGGATATTTGTCAATCTTCACACTTCACTGTAGGCTCCTAGGCGATGTTCCAGACACATTAAAAGTTTGTCAACACATGGGAGAAAGGCCTTAGCATAAAAGGCCTCCTTTGGCGTTAATTGAGCTTCTTCACTGTGTCCATAGTCAAGTGGCTGCTGACAGACATTTCGACGTTGAAGACGGCGGTGTTCCACAATATACTCCTCAGTATCTGTTAGACGCTTGCCAGCTTCTTCAAATGCATCAAATTTAGTACGCTGTTCATTAATAAAATCTTTTAACGATTTAAAAACACCAACAGCAGCATTTAGGTTCAGCTAAACAGACTGCAGAGTTTTGCTGCTGCTGTTGAAATGCTGCAAAACAGTGTTCCAGAATTCTGCAAAAATCCCTGTCTCAAGTTTGCTTATCTGATAAAATAGTTCCTTTGCAGTATTATGGCACTCAGATTTTTCTTCAATGTCAGTTGCAAATTCAAACAAAATGTCCATTATATTGTCATAGTCATGGACTAATGCTTGACAAGCATCTGCACGACATGACCAGCGTGTGTCACTTAGCTTTTTTGGCATGGACACAGAGAGGCCTTTCTCATCAAGCTGGTCTTTAAGCTTCTTGTAGCCCCGAGTTGAACCACTAAAGAATGTATAAAGAGCTTGTACAAAATTAAAAAATCTTACAGCCTCACTACACGAATTTGCAGCATCCTTTCTGACAAGATTTAATGAGTGTCCAAAACAAGGTATGTACTTAGCATATTTATTCATGTTAAGAATTCTTGCTTGCATACCCTTGTAGTGGCCAGACATGTTGCTTGCATTGTCGTAACTTTGTCCCCGGCATTCTTGTATGGTAAGTCCAACGCTATTAAGAAATGCTAGGAGCGCATCTGCCATTTCTTCTCCTTTATGCCCTGTTGAGGGTAAAAAAGTAACAAAACGCTCCACAGGTCGATTTTCTTCTAAGTATCGAATAATCACGGTGAGTTGGTCAGTATGAGAAGAATCCTCCGCTGAATCCACACACAACCAAGTAGTATTTTGCCATTTTAATACGGTTGATGACAACTTCTAAGATCTTATCCCCAGTAATTTGTATGAGTTCCTCACAGACATTTGCTGATAAATAACTTGTACATCCTTTGCCTTTGTTTGCCTTTGTTTGGATGTGTTGTGCTAGGAAAGCGTCATACTCTGACAGTAATTCCAAAATACCGAGATAGTTGCCATTATGTGGGGATCCAATAGTCTGATCATCACCTCTAAAAGCCAATCCTCTCTCAGCAAGAAAAACGATGACACTAAGCAAACGTTTTACTAGGTTTTGCCCATAGGTGGTCAGCTCTTCAATTTGCTGTTGCATTTTATAGTCAATCCGACCTTCCAGTTTTGAAAATTTGGCTGTATCAATCACAGCGCGTATATGATGTTGAGACTGTTCATGGGATGAAATTCGTTCACTGGCATGTTTCCAGTCGCTGAAGCCATCACTGGAAAATGCATTTGTTGATGAACTAAATAATTTGCAGTCAAAACAGTATATTCGGCCTCTGTTATTTGAGTAGCAAAGCCACTTCCTTTCAACTTTGTCCCCATTGGGACAGTTACGAAGAAACATATCTGCTGTACAGCAACGTCCATCTTTAAATGATTTTGGAAATCCTTCATTGCGCAGTTTTTCCAGAGGTTTCCTTACTGGCGAATTTCCATTTTTGGACCAATACTCCCGCATCTCAAGAGTAGATGAGTTGGGCCACAAACCAATGTCAGTTAGGAAACCTGACTTTTCCATGGATTTTGGCGGTATATCAACTGCTTCAGCAGTTGCGTCTTGTATTTCAACAGTATGGAAGCTAGGTTTCTCAACTTCCATGGGAACTGGAGTGGTTTCTAGTGACATGGGCTGATCAGAGGAATCCACTGTGTTGACTTCAGAGCCATATTCTGATACACTTTGAGGAGGAATCTCTTCCTGAGAACATGTACTAGCATGTTCTTTAGAAGATCCACACGCAGAAGGCTGTGCAGAAGATCCACTTGTAGGTAAAAGAAAACCAGTTATTTTTGGAATTCTACATATTTTTTCCTCCAACTCCTGCTTCTTCTTCCGCTTCTGAGCACCACTCAGAGGTTTGGACATGTTGAGGGCAGTCAGGCTCCTGAATAAATAAACGCGATTGACACTTCCATAAACAAAAGTCAATAGAGTGAAAATGCATATATTTTAATAGGATTTTTGCATATTTAAAATGTTGATGTTACAGCCAAGCTTGCTGTTTAACTTACTACAGATGAAAAGTTCCCACAGAAGGCATCTAACGAGAGCCTGCGCCACACCAATCCCCTTCCTCCTCTCGCTGTTCTTCCATGCTTTGTCTGCTCTTCCCTTCTGTAGCTGTGCTCATGACTGTTGCATGTATCTTCTCTCTGACGGGTTAAGACTCCAGTGCATGCATGTATACACGCAAGAGTAAATGTGCACGCCAGTGAAGCTTCCTCTTCTTTCATCAAACGATTTCGTCCAACATTAAAGGACCACTAAAGGCACCCAAACCACTTCAGCGCAATGAAGTGGTCTGGGTGCCAGGTCCATCTAAGGTTAACCCTGCAACTGTACACATAGCAGTTTCAGATAAACTAATATGTTTACAATAGGGTTAATCCAGTCTCTAGTGGCTGTCTCGTTTTCAGCCGCTAGAGACGCTTCCACGCTTCTCACTGTGAAAATCACAGTGAGAAGATGCTAAAGTCCATAGGAAAGCATTGAGAAATGCTTTCCTATGGACTGACTGAACGTGCGTGCGGCTCTTGCAGCGCATGTGCATTCAGCGCTGATATCGGAAGAGGGAGGAGAGTTCCCCAGCACCGAGGGAGCCCAGCGCTGGAGAAATTTGAGTTTAACTGCTTCCTCCCCTTCAGCCTGGCGAGAGTGGGACCCTGAGGGTGGGGGGGACCTAAAGACGTTATAGTGCTAGGAAAATGAGTTTGTTTTCCTAGCACTATAGTGGTCCTTTAATACAACTTACAGTAATGTGAAGTGTATCGCACGGCTCCACAGCAATACAACTCACAGTAATGTGCGATGTGCAAGTACATCACAGATCACCTCAGAATAAAATGCATAGAAAAGTGGAGTGTGTGAGTATCACAAGCTCTACAGCAATACAACTCACAGGAACGTACAATTTGTGAGTGTATTACAGATCATCTCTTTAATACAATGCACATGAATGTCACATGTCACATATATGCACATGTATATCATACCCAACCCACTGCTTTCCCATAGAGAAGCATTGGGAGGCTATTGCGCATGCGTGGCCTCATAGAGATGCTTTGAATCAATGCATTTCTATGAGGAGTGTTTAGCGCGAATGCCAGTGTTGTGAGTGGCCACCAGAGGTATTCCTCAGCAGTAATGTAAATACTGCCTTTTTTTCTGAAAAGGCAGTGTTTACATTAACCCCTTAAGGACGGAGCCAAATGTACACGTTGTGAACAAAACAAAATGTAAACAAAACCTGGCATTTGCGCTACATGTCTGTCCAACCGTAATTCACCTCTTTCATAGTAAATGCACCCACCCTTATTATATATCATTTTATTCAGGGAAACAGGGCTTTCATTTAATATCAAATATTTAGCTATGAAACATAATTTAATATGAAAAAAATGGGAGAAAATACGATTTTTTTTATTTTTTTAGTTCTACATGACATTTTAACAGTCAATGTCATAATACTGTTTGCTTTTACTGCAATAAAATACACATATTTGTATTCAGTAAAGTCTCACGTGTAAGACAGTACCCCCTATGTACAGGTTTTATGGCGTTTTGGGAAGTTACAGGGTCAAATATAGCACGTTACATTTGAAATTGAAATTCGCCAGATTGGTTACGTTGCCTTTGAGACTTTATAGTAGCCCGGGAATGAAATTTACACCCATAATGGCATACCATTTGCAATAGTAGACAACCCAAGGTATTGCAAATGGGGTATGTCCAGTCTTTTTTAGTAACCATTTGGTCACAAACACTGGCCAAAGTTAGCGTTAGTATTTGTTTGTGTGTGAAAAATGCAAAAAACGTCAATTTTGGCCAGTGTTTGTGACTAAGTGGCTACTAAAAAAGACTGGACATACCCTGTTTGCAATACCTTGGGTTGTCTACTATTGCAAATGGTATGCCATCATAGGGGTAATTTTCATTCTTGGGCTACCATAGGGTCTCAAAGGCAACGTAACCAATCTGGCGAATTTTAATGTGAAAAAAATGAAACGCAAGCCTTATATTTGACGCTGTAACTTTTGAAAACACCATAAAACCTGTACATGAGGGGTACTGTTGTACTCGGGAGACTTCGCTGAACACAAATATTTGTGTTTCAAAACAGTAAAAAGTATCACAGCAATAATATTGTCCGTGTAATGCTGTTTGTGCGTGAAAAATGCAAAAAACTTCACTTTTACTGGCGATATCATCGTTGTAATACATTTTACTGTTTTGAAACACTAATATTTGTGTTCAGCGAAGTCTCCCGAGTAGAACAGTACCCCCCATGTACAGGTTTTATGGTGTCTCGGAAAGTTATAGGGTTAAATATAGTGCTAGCAAATTAAATTCCCTTTACTTTCGGCATGGGTTGTCAGGCAGGTCCTGCTAATTGTAATTAATTAAGATACCTAATTATGTAAAAATATTACATAAATATATATGTAGAATTAATATATGTATGTGTGTATATATCTATATAATTTTTAAAAAATATTTTTATTTATATATAGGTATATATAGTGATATATACATATATATTTATGTATATAGATATATATAATTTCGTTCTACGTGTATTTTGATATATATATATATTTCACAATACAGTTAGAACGAAATAACACACATCTATATATTTTTTAATTATTAACATTTTCATTTTTTTTATATTATATATAAATATATATATAACAATAATTATATATATATTTAATCAGTATCCGTCTACGTGTAATTTGATATTAATATATATATATATTTATATATATATTAATAGTAAAATACACCGAGACGGTGTACGTATGTGTATGTATATGTGTATATATACTTAGATCATGGCAATGCAGGAGGCAGCTACCCCCGGCCATGTGATTGTGGGGTCCTCGCAAGGACCCCACTCTCACATGGCCGGGGGGGCTTCGAGGAGGACGGACGTGCCGCGGGGGGCTCCCTGGGAGTCCCCCCCACCGCGATCGCCGGCGACCGGGTAAGTACCGAAATACCGGAGAGCGTACTATTACGCCCAGCGGCGTTTAGAGCTGCTTAGAATAGGGCGTAATAGTACGCCCTCCGGTCTTAAGGGGTTAAAAAGCCTGCAGAGACATGTTATAGACACCAGAACTACTACGTTTAGCTGTTGTGGTTCTGGTGACTATAGTGTCCCTTGAAAATAGAGGGGAAAAAAAGGATCAGCACAAAAGTATTAAATAAAATGGCTGTATCATTATTATAAAAATTAAAAAAGCACAACTTATGACACAAATATATAGTATTTAACAGATTACTTTATTTTTAACAATGTGATAGTACTGTACTACTAACCCCTCCATCCACCCTTCCCCCTCCCCTCTAACCACCCTTACTCCCATAAAACAATATATATTACTGTAACTAACTAATGTAAATACTTACAGTTCTGAAGACTCCAGCAGGCTCAGGATCAGTTGGGAAGCTGGGCTCAGGGCTGGAGTGGGTGCCGACCTTCCGTTCCGGATGGCGCCGCTCTGCAGTTCAGGATGGTGCCGCGCTGCAGTTCGGGAAGGAGGCGGAGTCACGGCAACGCTCACCCTAGCGTTGCCGTGACTCCGCCTCCGCGTGACATCATCGTGCGCGGCATACGCAAATGGCAGGGGAGGTCGGGAGGCGGAGCACCAAGTAAGTCCTTCACTATGCGGCAATGCCGCTCGCATAGTGAAGGTGAAGGATAACTTCGGGACACAAATTTGTGGGCAGTGGCCAGCGGGGCTCAAGAGGCAGCTGCCTTGGGCCCCCCAGGAGCAACTGGGCCCGGGGCAGCTGTCCCTTTTGCCCCGCGTTAAAGACGGCCCTGATTGACATTCAACTAAACTGAGACTATATATTTGTATAGACTAAAGACAACAAAATGCCTTCACTCATCACAGCTAATTTGTACCTTTAACTTGGATTGCAATTTATGAATAACTGGCTCAATGGGTTTTCTGGGTCCTTTAAAATAAAATATCCTGCAACTAGTTTAGTCGGAGTCAGTTTATTTAATCTTTCCTACCGTAATTGATTTGTCTGTTTTATCTTTAATTACTTATTCGTGACAGAATACTTTCATTCTTAAATAGCTTAAAACTTCTTTGCAGTCTAAATTATAGGTAGAGCAAATCGAATGAAAGTCTATCCATACATTATTGCTTATTAGTCTTTTTTTTTCTCATGCTACAATTTAGCCAATTATGTATCTTTTTTAATACAAAAAACAGATGTGAGATATAGGCGCTTAATTTTTAGACAATTTTTAGTATAGCAGCTTGAACACTGTGGGTGCTCCAAAACCACCCACTAGTCAAAATACAAAGCATACATACAGAGTAGATATAGAGCTAAAAGACCCTTAACCTTCCCAGTGAGATGTTTAGTGCAGCGCTATATATTAATGGTTTGAAACTCACCCTTTAGAGATTTCATTGGGTGGTTTGACTCAAATATATATAGATAAGGATACAAAAATAAAGTATATAGTGCAGAGCTGTTATTGCAATTTGTAGTGATCGAAAGTGGATATAAAGTAGCAAACTCACATGTTAAGGAGCGTTTAGGCTCCAAACTTGTTAGCAGGTATGTTTTTAGGGAATATACAACCCCTTTAAATCTTCCTAATAAGATGACAGTGCTTTTCAATATATATCAGCAAAGAGAAAAGATATATGTACTAAGTGTAGATTGTTTACACAAGTAAATCTGTTTGTAATACAGAATGTGCTTACCTGGCTCAGAGCCTTCCAAACTAGGCTCTGAGTATGAAGATTTGTGACAGTTGATGGTGACAACTCCCTTTGATACCCAGCAACACTGGAAACAGGATCCGCTTGGTTCAAATGCACATGAGTGCTATTTATTATAAAATAAGAGATAAATACAATTTTAAAAGGCTGGATCCTCAAAACGCGTTTCACCTATATTCTAGGCTTTTTCAATCGGTCTTCGTGTTGGTTCTGGTATTTACGTTGTGGATCGACTCCTCCCTCTTCAGTGTTCTTCCTATCCTTGTTTTTCATCCATCTGGGCTCCTCCCACTCAGTCATTGATGATGCTGTAGTGTTCGCCGATGCATCATGTCCGGTTCTACGGAACTACATTAACCATGATGCATTGTGACTGAGTTCCGTGTTCAAACATATTTCGTCACTTCCTATATTACGGACCTACTATTCCCACAGTTCTTAGCAATTGTGTGTTCCGTAAATCGGCGTATATTTCTCAATATTTACAGTTCATTTTATATAATACACATAGGGGAAAAGATATATATAATTTTTTATTTTATTTTTTAAGACATACAGGGCCGTCTTTAATATTGATTGGACCCTGGGCAATAATTTACTTGGGCCCCCTGGATCCCGCCTTCCAACACCCTAGCATGCAATCACGCCCTCCACCACAACACACACACACACATAACAAAACAAAAAAAAACAAAAAACACACAACTCATAGAGTATTAATAATGTAAACATAAAAAACTGATTCACAAATAAGTCCTTAGCTTGACCTACTTTCCACCTGTAGCTTCTTTTAAGCTCGGTCTTATGGTATATTTTTATTAAAAGTTATACATTGTTGGAAGAACAAGCATAATAACAATATCTTTCAGTAACAGTGCAAATCAACATTATTATGTTTAAATTCTAAAATAAATAACCATGTTGGCTAGTAATATCACAAAAAATAAAAATAAAATACAACAATTAACAATGCAATTAAATAAACAATATTAAACCTTATTGTATAATCCAAGTGCACATTTCCCATTCCAATATGGAGAAAGGGAATCAAGTACCAGTGTTAAATGGTCAACCTTATTATAATTCCTATTAGGCACCAACTGCTGCAGTAGCAGACTATTATAAAAGAATACATAGTTCAACAACCATTAACATAAAGTGCAGAGAACCATTAACGTAAAGTGCAGAGAACTTTTACATAAAATAGTAAATAAATATTTTAGTGCAATTTAAACAATGAGTCTACGTGCTTTCTGCGCAGCAAAGGTCTTTGAAATGTTGGAAAAATCAAGACCGCGAAGTATATCAGATTCAGCAGACATTATAGATAGTTTGGTAAGACGGCTCTGGCTCATGGTTGTGCGTTGTAAGTTTTTTATCAATTTCATTTTTGAAAAAGATCGTTCACCTGAACTGTTAGA